TTGGCATGTGTGAGTGTGTGGAAGTGCGTGGGAGCTTTCCAGTTAGCTCAGGAGGGGCTGGAGTAGGATTCGGGGTGGAGTGCAGGCCAGGTCCAGGTGCAGGGTGCCTGCGGGCCAGGCTGAGGTCTGGGTTTCATCCAATGGCAGTGGGAATCCAGGAGCTCCCCCACAGTGGGAAGGGTGGCTGGGGCATGACAGCCCAGGAGGGAGAGGAGTGGGGAGGAGCAGCACTCTGGGAATCTGAGGTGGGGAGCCCGGGGGTTGGTCAGCATGGGGTTGAAGAGGACCCCTGGCCAGGGATGAGCTGCAAGTCTTGGTAGGAACAGTGTGGCGGTGTCCCCTGCTCTGGGCCTTGGCATGGCCTGAGGCTGTAGCTCTGGTCCTTGTCTCATACAGGGCTGGGCGCATGGGGCATACGCAGGGCCCATGCTGGAGGGGCCTTGGAGCAGGCTTACCAGCCCCTCCTTCCCCTACCTCCTGCTCCTTCTGCCGATCCCATTTCCTGGGTTTTGAAACCCCTGTGGCCTCTTTGACCTACTTCTGTCTGGGAAGGCCATCTGGGAGGCCACCCTTGCTGGCATGCCATCCTCCCTGCCTCCCCAGCAGGCTGTTCCGCTGTGCTGGCCCCCTTGCCCTTTTCCAGCTGTCAGGGCCAGCTCTGTGCTCCCCTGCTGATCACACTGATTCACATGACCCGAATTAGCTCTTTGCTCCTTTCCCCAAGGCCTAGGGCTACATCCTCAGGAGGCCCCACTTTGCTGTCACCTGTCATCCAGTTTTGCTTGGCAGCAGGGGTACTGGCCCTGGGCAGTGGGCAGGGAGCAGTCCAGGGTCGGTCACATGTGGATGGGAAAGGTCTGCATGGTAGCAGGCTCTCCTACTCCCCCGATGTCTGCCTCACCAGGGACTACAGGGGTTCTCTTCTTGAGCTTGTTCACATTGTCCCTTGACAGCCTGGCTGTCCCCAGTCACGTGTGCTTCTCTATTGTGGGCATCACCCTGGGGCTGCGAGGCAGAACTGAACAGGAGAGGGGGAGGAGGGAGGAAGCCAGAGGACCCCTGCGCGGGGCATCGACCTCATTCTTCCCCTCTATGCAATGAGGAGAGGGGCAGGTCAGCCTCTGAAGGCCTATCTCTTGGAGACAACTTAGCTTGGTGGGTTCTGTCTTTCTCCTTTGACAGTACTAGTTCAAGCAAGTTTCTAAATTGTAGAAAAATTAGAAAATGCGCCTCAGTTCCTGCCGGAGCTGGTACACATCAGCTCACATGTAGATGTGAAGCCACACACTTGTCCACCACAGGCCACCCAGCTGGAGCTCCGACAGTGTGGCCACTCTGGTCACCTTGAAGCTGACTTCGCCCACCTCCCTGGGCTGGCTGGAAACAGGTTTCTGTTTGCCCTGGAGGAGGTGACCTGCCTATTCTGGTCTGGCCTGACCACTGCCCTTCTTTACCTCCAGGCGGCTGATCTAGGGCAGGGTGGGGAGCTAGGCCAGTTCCCCAGGTTTTGGCAACTGGGGGTTAGTCCAGGTGGTCAGGTCAGAAGAGAAGATGGCAGCTCTGGGCATGAGGATTCCTTAACTATGATAAGGCTGGGACCCAGCCTGAGCATAGGAGTTGGGCTGAGCAAATAGACTGATCAAGCGTAGAGTTCTGCCTGTACCATGGTGTTCTCTGACTTTGCGTGTTGTTTGTATCTGCTATTCTTGGCATGTTTGTCTCCATCTCTACCCTCTCTCTCTCTCTCTCTCTCTCTCTCTCTCTCTCTCTCTTAAAATGTATTTGGTACAGAGTCTCACTAGGCAGCTTGGATTCTTAGTGATTCTTCTATTTTCAGCCTCCCCAGTGCTGGGATTACAGGTGTGCACCACCATGCCTGGTCTCACTGGCTGGCTCAGTGAGCCTCAGGGTGAGGCTGGCGCAGCATGTGGTGTCAGCATTGCACCCTGGTCCCTGGGCTTGCCTAAGCAGGTGCTTAGTCTGCTGAGCTATCTCGCTGGTCCTTCCCCCTTCATCTTTTCTTTGTAACATGGCATAGTGGAAAGAATATGACCTGCAGCATCAGGCTGCCTAAATTCAGTGGAGTGGGTGTGTGACCTCTGCAGGTCACTTGACCTCAGTCAGTCTGGATTTCTTCATCCATAAAATATCCATTCCCTGGGAGCAAGGTAGGGATAAAGTGAGCTAAGGCAGTTACAAGGTTAACCTGTACACTGTCAACTTCAGAAAAGGCCAGTCCCTAAAAATTGAGCTAAGATTCACACCTAGACCACTAGACCCTCCAGGGCTCTCTGCTTCAAAGGCCTGTATCTACCTTGGGCTGAAGAAGCAAGAGCAGAGAGGTGAGGAGCCACAAACTGTGAGGAAGGCCTGGCTGGTCCCCACAGAGTGGTGTGTGGGAAACAGCCCTTGCTCCTCTCTCACCCCGCGAAAATCATGAGTCTGGGGCTGAGCCAGGGGCCCTCCTTTGGGGGCTGTGGGTCTAGGTCTATTTGCATGGCAGCTGTAAATAGTAGGCGCACCTTGCTTTTGTGCAGCAGCCTCAGCCCTCGCCTTTCCACTATTGCTCAGACCCTGCCAGGTAGGTGGCTGGGCTTGAATTGCATTTTTCAGAGAGGGCATCCATGGACCAGAGAGGGAGGGTCACGCAGTGGTCGTAGCAGATGGGACCTGTCTCCTTCCTGGGGTCTAGGTAGTCTGGTTGAGGGCTGAGGGGTGGAAGCATCAGGCTCGACCCTTTGCCTTAGTTTTAATCCTGGAGCTAAGTGGTCTGAGCCCACTGTTACTGCCACATAGCCCCGTGGTGCCCCACGAAGACCACGGATCCGCTATGCTCGTGGTACTGTGGCCTGGTTGTACAGGTTTAGGGCTAAGGCCCCTCCTGCTGTGGTTGTGGTTTTCCTTCCAGTGGCTTCTGTGAGCAGCAGCTGCCAAGTGAGTCCAAGACAGGCCTGGGAAGCTGGGCCTGTGCCCTCCTCATTCCTCCAAGGTTTCTCTCTCCTGTCTTCTCCGTGCAGCCCTGGGTTGCCATGCATAGCTACTGCTGGCAAGCTGGGGGCAGAATGAGCCACTTCTTGGCCCCATGGTGCTGTGGCAGGGAGGAGAAGCTGGCCAGACTGTGTGCAGAGTGCTGGGTGCCCTGTGTTCCTTCAGATTTGAGTTTCCTGAGAAATGGGGTCCATAGCCAGTACTGTGTCCCCAAACTACTGGACATGTGGAGAGATGCCAGGTGCATGTTGAGGACCGTAAGCGAGGTGCGCGGGTGAAAAGCAGCAGGAGGTGCTGCCTTGCTCTTCTGGGCGTTTAGGACTCCCACCTGCACTCCGGCACAGGGCCAGGCCCGTACAGCTTCTTCACCATGAGCTGAGCTCCTGCCACGTGCCACCACCTACACCCATGGCCTCACAGGTGCACCCGTCTCTGGGTGCTTAAGTCATACTCAGAGACCGTCACACCCGTGTAGCCCTAAGCAGGCTGCAGGCTGCAGGCTGGAGACGAGCCCACTGTGTCCCACTGCTGGCTGTCCCTGAGCCCACCAAGATAATTTTTGTGGGTGTCTAGCCTGGTACCTAGGACTCACCTACCTTCTGGGCACAGGCCAGAGGCACTGGGCATAGGCGTGAGCTTGCACACCTTCTGTCACTCTCACTGGGTAGGAACCAGGGAGAGGACGTGGCAGAATCTGTCCTGCCTGGTTCCTTCTGTCTGGTTGCTGGCCTCAGAGGCTGGCCACAGGAAACTCAAATCTGTGGCCCTGCTTTGCCACAGGGCTGGGCTGCAGGGTGAGGTCAGTGTTTTCTGTGAGCTCATCTGGGCTGGGAGCTTCCAGCAGACCTGGCCACTTGCTCTGTCTCTGGCTGCCTTGCACAGGAGTAGAGGGAGCTCTTCCAGGGGCTGGGCAGCTGTGGGGTGTGTGTACATATGTATGTGTGCGTCTGCGTGCGCACACGTGTAGGTGGGTGGGTCAGGGTGTGTGCCTAAGTCTGCCCCAGGGGTCAAGCTTATGTGCATGTGTGTGTGCAGGAACACGGAGTATTCATTTGACCGTGGTTATGGATGACCCTTGTGTGTGTGGCTTGGGCCTGGGGGATGAGTGTGTGCATGTGGCTTTCACGCAAGTGTCCTCTATAAACAGCAGTGAAAGGAGACACTTGGGGTCACCTCATGTAGTAACTCCTCACTTGGGGAACAGGAAAGAAGGGGCAGCGTGGAAGCTGACCCGTATGTGAATGTGCAGAGCACAGTGTTGTCTTCAACATTAAAGTACAGTTTTATGTTTGAGCAGAAAATCAGTGGGAAAGTGCAAGCTGCCTTCCAGGTAGCAGGAGGCACGTGCCTCCCAGGGCCTCACCTAGGAGGGCCAGGAGCACTGCTGTGGGCAGGCAGAGCCTCTCTCGGCCCCAGAACGAAGTAGGTGCTAAGTTAGTAGGATCTCAGCTTTTGGTTCAGGCTCAGTCTTGGTTTCAGTTTCCCCTTCTGAAGAACAAGTGCTCATCTCAGCCCCCTTGTCTACCTGCAGTTGTGAGCAGTCAGAACCAAAAGGGCTGCATGGGGCAGGACAGGAAGAAGGGGAGGGGACTGTCCTGCCCTTCTGGGTGGGTGACTGCTGGCGCTGAGGCGTGGAGACCTGGCATACACCAGGTCCCTGGCCCCTGGGGTAGGTACCCAGCAGTTGGTACTGAGGGAGCTCCAGGGTGACCCAGATTAGTATCTTGGGACTCAGTTTCAGACAAGAGTGAGTACATGCCCTGGCCTGGCGTCCACAAGGCAGCTATCCCTGTGGCTGTTGTCCAGCCTGCCCCATGTCACATCTTCTGGTTTTGCCAAGGGTGCCAGAGGGCAGACTTACATAAAATTTCCCAATTTATAACACTAGCCACTAGGACTAGCACGCTTCATGCACTGCCCTGGGGCACCTGGGACCCTGAGAGCTTGTCTGGCCCCTGCTGTGCTTCCTCCCCTCCCCCTGCTCTCCAGCTTCACCCCCTCTCTGTACACAGCCCTGCTCCAGGTCCCACCATGGCGCCATTCCTGCGCATCGCCTTCAACTCGTACGAGTTGGGCTCTCTGCAGACTGAGGCTGAGGCGGGCCAGCCTTTCTGCGCCGTGAAGATGAAGGAGGCACTCAGCACAGGTACAGCTAGGAGCTGCACCCGCAGGGGGGCGTGGGCTCCGCAGGCAGGGCTGGAGGGCACCTTACCTTGTCCCCCAGGTCCCGGGAAGAATCCTCTTGTCACCGCACCCTGTGCAAGTGTGACTCAGGAAAGCAGAGGCCACCAAGTACTACAGGCTCTCACATTGAGGCTCTCTGGCCTTGGATTTTTCAGGCTCCACTGTTTGACCCCATATCCCCACATGTCCATCTGAACCCGGCTCTGTGCCAGGTACCAAGGATATGGCCATGCCTGAAGACAGACCTGGCCCTGCCCTCCTGGGGCTCATTCTCAGGCTGAGATGCTGAACATGTCCCCAGGCAGTGAGTGCTGTGGGAGGGCGCTGCACGAGCTGGTGGTGTGGAGGCCTTCCCAGAAGAGGCACACCTCACACTTCTCCCTCGTGCTCCTGCACCCCTCTGCTCACCCCGGGGCCAGCCAAGTGGACCCTTAGGCAGCGCCAGGCACCAGTTTTGACTCTTCTGTCTCATCACAGCTATGACTTAGTGGTTGTTGAAGGAGGGCTTGACTAGAGCTTGGACTGAGGAGGACAGGCACTGTGTGAACTCTGTCTCCACCATTTCCTTACCTCCAACTGTGGCTGGCATTTGGCAGCTCTCAGCACGTGTTCCTGAGTTACTGCACAGGCCAGGGGAGATTTAAGTGTAGCTAGAACCGTGGTAGTGAGTCTATAGCATGCGTGGTATATTTTTGTCTTTTTGAGACAGGATCTCGCTGTGCGGTTCAGGCTGGCCTTGAGCTCACTTTGTAGCCCAGGCTGGTCTCAAACTTGCAGTGATCCTCGTGCCTCAGCCTCCCGAGTGCTGGGATTACAAGCATGCGCCACCATACCCAAGCATTCCGGTTTAATTGCAGTGTTGGCACTTTGCAATAAATAAATGGGTTTGGGGTTGCAATTTGGGCCCTCATCTCTAGGAAGTTCACCAGCACTGACTTAGAACGAAAAGGTCACAAGAGGGAAGAACAAAAGCAAAGACCTAGGGCAAAAGCTACAGAAGACACTTGGAGCAAGACAGACAGGCAGAGGCTGAAGGCTGGGAGGGAGGACATGGGGGCCCTAGGCTGACCTTGCCTGCCCGGCCCTGTTGCAGAGCGAGGAAAGACGTTGGTACAGAAGAAGCCGACTATGTATCCTGAGTGGAAGTCAACGTTTGACGCCCACATCTACGAGGGCCGCGTCATCCAGATCGTGCTGATGCGGGCGGCCGAGGACCCAGTGTCCGAGGTGACCGTGGGCGTGTCAGTGCTGGCCGAGCGCTGCAAGAAGAACAACGGCAAGGCTGAGTTCTGGGTGAGGGGCACAGCGGGCAGGGGGTGTGGGGAGGGCACCAGCCAGGCTCAAGCCCTGGCTCTGGGATCCGGGTCCCCAGCATCTTTAGCCTCTTTCCACTCATCCCTCTGCCCTGAGGTCTGCTGTTAGGTGAAGCAAGCCGCTGCATGTCAAGGCAGAGCCCGACTCGCAGTGGGTGCTAGAGGAAGCCATCTGCATTGTTGCAGACTACTTTCTTCGTTCCTTTGCTTTTGAAAAGGCAGGATATCACAAAGTAAAATATTTCAAACTAGATAGATAAAAGGCTATGTGCCTGCCCCAGTACCAGCCCCTCTTCTCAGAGGTACTGATCGTTTGCCTCGTTTTTGGAACCTTGCCTAGTGTTCCAGGCCGAGGCAGGCATGTGAAACAGCATCACGATCTTCAGCAGCACAGGGGTGGGAGAAGGAGGTTAGCTGGCCTGCCCACTCACCTGCTGAAACTGGGACTCTGCACACGGCTGTGGCCATGTGGCCAGGTGGTAGGGTCCTAGGGAACCATAGGACACCAGCACTGACAGAACCACTACCCCCACCCCCACCCCCCCACCCTGGTTACCTGTGGGCTCCTGGCGACCATCAGAGGCTCTGGTCAGCCTTGAGTGAGCCAGCACTAGAGAGAGCTTGACACAGGATCCCCGGCTGTGTGCTCTCTCCTCTGCCCTGGGAGGAGGTCCATCACAGGTCTGGGTCCTGGGGGAGCACAGGGAAGGGCTGGGGACTTTCCCTTCCTGTTCTGTTCCTGGGCCCAGTGGCCTGGCTAGATGTGGGCTGGACCCTTTCACTTCCCCAAATGTAATAATACCCCTGGGCGCAGGGTGGGGGCGGGGCTGGGGCGGGGCGTGCAGGGTGGGGGTGGAGCGGGGCCCTGCCTATATTGGGCAGTTAGGTGCTTTTCCAGGCTTTAGGGGCTTCCTTGGCCTTGAGGGACAACCATGGGGGCGGGTTCTGTGCCTGATCAGGCCCAGGCCCAGGCCCGCCCTCGCTGACCTTGCTATTCCCCCCTCCTACCCTTACAGCTGGACCTGCAGCCTGAGGCCAAGGTGTTGATGTCTGTACAGTACTTCCTGGAGGACGGGGGTAAGTCTCCACAGGGCTCTGGGCTTAGGGAAACAACCCCCATTCATCGGCACAGACCACCGGGAAGAGTCTGTAGGGTGCTGCCCTTCCCAGACACCTGGGCCGACCTACTGTATTGCTCCATCTTCCTCAGACTGCAAACAGTCTATGCGTAGTGAGGAGGACAACAAGTTCCCAACAATGAACCGCCGCGGAGCCATCAAACAAGCCAAGATCCACTACATCAAGAACCACGAGTTTATTGCCACCTTCTTCGGACAGCCCACCTTCTGTTCCGTGTGCAAAGAGTTTGTCTGGTGAGACCCGGCTGTGGGTGACGCAGGGTAAGAGGCCTGGTCCTGGAGCTCTCCTTGCTCACCTGGCCTGGTGCTTTCCTTCTAGGGGTCTCAACAAGCAAGGCTACAAGTGCAGGCGTAAGTATCCGCAGCCCAGTGCATGCTCTGAGTTGCCAGCGTGTGGCCCTGGGTGGGTGTGACGTGTCTGGGCGGGCGAGGGTTCTGTGGGTATGTGAGTGTGTGTGCAGTAGTGTTTCCCCACCAGAGGGGATGGGGATGGTAGCTGCGTGTGAGTGGGGGCTGCCTCGCTCTGTCAGGTTAGGGTCCCAAAGTAGGCCCAGCACACTAGAGTATATCCAGCGCTCCCCTGGCCTCACATGTGGGAGGGATGCGTGGTCTCTGGCACACAGGTTGAGCGCCCCTTCCTCTGGGTGGTGTGTGCAGTAGGCTCCACAGGTTGGCGTTTTCAGCCCAGGCCGCTCTGCTACTTCCTGGGGCTTTAGCCCCTGTTTAGTGCCTCAGTTTCCTTGTGTATAAATGAGGTCTAACATAGTTGGTATGAAGAGGTGGTGGATGTGTATAAAGCTGTATTTTAAGTGCCTAAGAGTTAGAGCACTTAATGGTAGCAGTTCAGTATAAGAAGATTTTCATGTTCTTTGTGTGAATGTGTGATGTCTTTGTGTTAGGGTGTGTTGGTGTGCATGTGTGAGAGTGAGTGTAGTAGATGTTGGCTCTCCTGGGACCTAGAAGTGCAGAAGGCGGGGAGCTCTGGTACGGTGGTGCACACCTGTAACCCCAGTACTCTGGGAGGCTGAGGCAGGAGAATCACAAGTGTGAGCCCAGCCTAGGCAACATAGTGACTTAATGAGAAGTGGTCTTAGAAGCAGAAATGGGCTAGGGATGTAGCTCAGTGCAAAGAGCCTTGGATTCAATCCTCAGTATCACCAAAAAAGGCCCATTTGCATGCCTCACTTCTGCCCGCCGCCCTGCCCACTAGGACTCCATAAACCTTTCCTCACTTTGGAAACTGCGACTCCCCATCTCCCTGGCCAAGTCTTCTCCTTGGCTCCTCCCTAAAGGCTGGCGGGAGGAGGAGGATCAAGCCCTGGGCCAAGGCCTCCGTGGGTGAGGGTGTGGGCGGTCAAGGAGAAGGCTGGCTTTGTGTAGAGGGCTGGATGGGGCCAGCGAGCGCCAGCTCACAGCTCTGCCCTTCCCTGCGCCCCCCCACCCTCTGCTCCTCGTCAAGAATGCAACGCCGCCATCCACAAGAAATGCATCGATAAGATCATCGGCCGGTGCACTGGCACTGCCGCTAACAGCCGGCACACCATAGTGAGCTGGGCCCAGGGCAGGGTTTGGGGGACCCAGGGCTTGGCCAGGTGGGCGGGCCTGGGCTCTCCTGCCCCTTCCCTCGGGGCTCACCCCCTTTCCCATCTCTCTCAGACTTCCTTTCCTCCTCATGGGCTCCTTGGGCCTCTCATAGCACACGGGGTTTGGGGAGAGTTGGGGTCAAGAAAGGAGTTAGACCTGGCATGTGGCCCCTGACCTGCTGTATGCTCCCCTCCAGTTCCAGAAAGAACGCTTCAACATCGACATGCCGCATCGGTTCAAGGTTTACAACTATATGAGCCCCACCTTCTGTGACCACTGCGGCAGCCTGCTGTGGGGGCTGGTGAGGCAGGGGTTAAAGTGTGAAGGTGGGTGCTGCCTGCCCCCTGAGGCCCAGCCAGGTCTGGCTCACTCCTCACCCTGAGGGATTTCACATGGCGATTTACCTGCTGCATGGACAGGAGACAGGTGCAGGCTCTGCCTCTGAGCTGCGTCCTCAGGTTTCAAATGGGGAAAAGTAGGACTGAGAGAATCACTGTGAGGGGCAGTGGGCGCAAGGTCCTCAGCAGAGGCCTGGCGTCCAGTGGAGGCAGCGCCCACACCTACCCTTGCTGAGGAGAATCTGGAGACCCTGAGGGGGGTGGCTTGTCTCAGCCGTCCTGGAAGTCTTTAAAAGGGTTTAAAGGGTTTACGGTTGGGACCCGTAGCTTCTGATTTGGCTTCAGGTATTTTTTTTCCCTTGAAGACAGGGATCCCAGGAGTCCCTGTTCTCCTGCCCCCTTCCCCCGTGGCCTTGTTTGAGCTCCCAGACTAACTACTGCTTCTCCCTCACGCAGACTGTGGCATGAATGTGCACCACAAGTGCCGGGAGAAAGTGGCCAACCTCTGTGGTATCAACCAGAAGCTCCTGGCCGAGGCCTTGAACCAAGTCAGCCAGGTAGGCAGGGGGTGTGGACTCTGGGTGTGAGGCAGGGGTCGGGTGGTCAGGCTCCCAGCAGTCTTGGGGATACTGTAGGGATTTATACCCAGACTTCACTTCTGGAAGAGCTGATCAAAAAATTTAGGGAGCAGGGCTGGAGAGATAGCTCAGTAGAATAAGCACTTCCCTGGCAAGCACAAGGACCTGAGTTCAATCCCCGGTTCTGCCAAAAAAAAAAAAATTTAGGGAGCAGAGGGAGGTGGTCTTGTTCTCATGGGAAACCTCTTATATAATCCATCCTTTCTTTACCTGTGGGTGAGTCCAGAGGAGGGCAGACATGGCTATTGCAACTCTTTGAACTAAGATCGTGAGTGTGTGTGTGTGTGTGTGTGTGTGTGTGTGTGTGTGTGACTTGAGGAATACATAAAAACTTTAGGGTAAAATTTTGGACTCAATCAAAAATAAAGTTAATAGGGGCCAGAGAGATGGCTCAGTGTAATAAGCGCTTCCCTGGCAAGCGCAAGGGTCTGAGTTCAGTCCCTGGTTCTGCAAAAAAAAAAAAAATTTTTTTAAAATAGGGCCGGGAAGATGGCTCAGTCGAATAAGTGCTTCCCTGGCAAGCACAAGGACCTGAGTTCAATCCCCGGTTCCACCAAAAAAAAAAAAAAAAAAAAAAAATTCTTGCCTGGGGAGATGGCTCAGTAGAATAAGTGCTTCCCTGGCAAGGGCAAGGGCCTGAGTTCAATCCCCAGTTCTGAAAAAAAAAAAAAAATTAAAAAAAAAAACAAAACATATATACATATATATATACATATATATATATATGTATATATATATATATATATATATATATATATATTTAGTGTACAAAATTTCCATGTCCAGTCAGTGCTTGTAGTGCCATCCAGACCTCCTTATGCTTCATTGAGGGCGGACACACACACACACACAAGCAGTAGGTCTTGGGCTTTTCCTGTGCTGTCCACCCTTGGTATTGTGGGGGGTTGGGGCCAAGGGCTCTTGTTCCTGGGCTGGGAGTTCTTCTAATTGTCTCACATCAGACCCCTTTGCCTCCATTACCTTTCTAGAGATCTTCCCGAAAGCAGGACTCAGGGTCTTCGGAGCCTGTCGGGATATACCAGGGTTTTGAGAAGAAGCCAGAAGTCGTTGGGAATGATGCCCCAGGTGAAGCTGAACCCAAATCCCCCACTAAAGCTCCTATTTCCCATCAGGTCATGGACAAGGGCCCGCTGAGTGAGTGCTGGGAAGAGGTACACTGGGGGAGCAGGCCCTCTCTCTCCCTAAGCCTGTCCTGTCCTAAGCCCACCATCACCCCCAGCCCCTAGACTCTGGGGAAAGGAATCATGGCCACCAGGACTGTAGTCAGAGGCATCTTCTCTCAAACAGACAACAATGGGACCTACGGCAAGATCTGGGAAGGCAGCACCAGGTGCAGGATTGAAAACTTCACCTTCCACAAGGTCCTAGGCAAAGGCAGCTTTGGGAAGGTGAGGGACCGTGAGGTTCTGGGGAGCCCTGAGGGCCAGGGCAGCGCTTTCTGCTGCACCCTGGCTACTTCTACTCGAGTGTCGGGGTGAATATCTGGGTGGGCCTTGGCCTTTGGTGTGGCCTGCCTGCTCAGCATCCCGCCCCCCGGCAGGTCCTGCTTGCAGAGCTCAAGGGCAAAGGCCAGTTCTTCGCTGTCAAGGCCCTCAAGAAGGACGTAGTGCTGATCGACGACGATGTGGAGTGCACCATGGTGGAGAAGCGGGTGCTGGCGCTCGCCTGGGAGAATCCCTTTCTCACCCACCTCTTCTGCACCTTTCAGACCAAGGTACGTGGCCTCCCAGCATTGAGGCCCATGTGCTACCGCCCCCCACCCCACATTCCCCAGGCAGGGACATGACTTCTGCCCTCAGACCTCCCAGGGTAGGAATGGCCCCTTGGCCTAGGGTCTGGCCCCTCTGCCTGCTGCCGGGGCTCTGTCCTGGGCCTCAGCAGGGAGCCCTCTCCTGACCCTGCTCTGCCCACTGCTGTCCCACCCCAGGAGCACCTGTTCTTTGTGATGGAGTTCCTCAACGGCGGGGACCTGATGTACCACATCCAGGACAAAGGCCGCTTTGAGCTCTACCGTGCCACGTACTGGCGGGCCCTGTGCAGGGAGGGAGGGGGGCTAGCTCCTTTCTTCCCTTCCTGGTGAAGCCAGCCAAGGCTAGGGCTGGTTTTGGAGAGACATGATGGCCTGGGTCTCTGCATCATGTAGGAAGCCAGGGGCATGGGTGAGCAGTGGCCACAGGAACAGTGCAGGCCTGCTGGTTCCTGTCTGCCTTGGGCCACAGCCAGAGCCGTCTGAAGCATAGAGGTCCTGTATATCAGCACGCCCTGATGGGGGCTGCAGACTGGCGTTGTGATGCTTCTCCCTGTTGCTTGTTCCTGCACTCACTGTGTGTGAGGCGTCTATGTACACCACATACACACAAGCAGAGAATTGGCTTCTTTGGAGCTTTCCCTTCAGAATATTCTGTCTGGGGCTGGGGAGATGGCTCAGTAGAATAAGAGCTTCCCTGGCAAGTGCAAGGGCCTGATTTCAATCCCTGGTTCCGCAAAAATAAATACATTAATTAATTAATTCTGCCTGGGCCACCAGCCCTTACTTGCCTGATACAAGGTGTAGTTGATCAGTCCGGGGTTGTTCCCAGCATTTCCTGCCCTGAGGATGGGGTAGGGCAAAAGCCCATGAAGGCCACTGATGGGCAGAAGTTCTAGAACTCTCCCTCTCTTGCTCAGGTTTTATGCAGCGGAAATCATCTGTGGATTGCAGTTTTTACACAACAAAGGAATCATTTACAGGTACAGTGCCATGGCCTCGGAGGCTCTTGGGAGGGGTGGCGCCAACCCCCTACATGCTTCCTTACATGCTCCAAAGAGCACTGGCCCCGCTGCTGCTCCATCGTTGCTTGGATTAAGTTGTCAGCTGGCTGCTTCTCTAAACCTCCACTCCAGTGCCAGGCATGCGGAGGACGATGCTGACAGCTAAGGCGCCTCCCTGCCCTGGCTCTGGCGGTCTTGCTCTGAAGCCCCATCTGAGTGATCTAAGTTTTCATCCAGTAATTGAGGGTCTCGTTCTGTGGAGGACAGCTCTACCCCCATGCAAAAGGCAGAGGCCACACCTGCACATTGCTGCCAATTATGCTGTCAAGTAGAAAATCAGTCAGTGGGGTGGTGGATAGCAAATGCCAGCTCCCAGGCTTTGAAAAGTGGGGTGAGACGCACAGTGTGATTTTCCATGCTTAGATTGTCGGGGGAGTGCATGGCCTTTGCGCTTAACAGAAGGTATACTTGGCATCGTTTGCTCCTCTGTAGTACTTGTTCCCATGTGCATCGATTATCTACGTGAAGGACTAATGGCAAAAATCGATGTGATTCCAGCCCTGGATGTAAGACAAATTTGAGCCCTGGGGTTCAGCTGCAGAGTAGTGAGGTGATCTGGGGCATGTGACATCACCTCTTCTGGGGCTTGCTTTTGGCTTCAGGAGTAGGATGTGTGTCCAGCCCTCAGCGCACAGTAGGCAGCTTGGAGGTAGCACTCGTGTTAGCACCTCCTTCCCCTTCTGTTTCTGTCTCTTGCTCATTTCCTCACAGTGCTGGGGAAAGTCCTGATGAACAGGTGGGTGGGGGCAGGGCTGTGAGGAGAGCCACTGCTTCTGATGACCCTGTCGTGTCCTCTGTCCCCAGGGACCTCAAGCTGGATAATGTGATGCTGGACCGGGAGGGCCACATCAAGATAGCTGACTTTGGCATGTGTAAGGAGAACATATTTGGGGAAAACCGAGCCAGCACCTTCTGTGGGACCCCCGACTACATCGCCCCTGAGGTGAGTGAATGCCCGCCAGCCCCTGATTGGCCAGGCCAGCAGGGCTCCCAAGGATGAAGTGGCCCAAGTCCCGCCACCCCCTCAGCACTGGCACCCTGCCTCTGACTGCTGCTACTCTCCAGATCCTCCAGGGCCTGAAGTACACGTTCTCCGTGGACTGGTGGTCCTTCGGGGTCCTCCTCTATGAGATGCTCATTGGTCAGTCCCCCTTCCACGGCGATGATGAGGACGAGCTCTTCGAGTCCATCCGTGTGGACACACCACATTATCCCCGCTGGATCACCAAGGAATCCAAGGACATCCTGGAGAAGGTGGGGGCCCTGGGCCGGGCAGGGCAAGGCGGGTGCACGCCGGTCTTCGTCCTGTGTTAACATCTGCTTGGCACGAGGCTAAGAGCTCAGGGTCAGGAGACAGACCGGAGGCTCCACCTGCGATGGGCTGGTGATCTCAGGCAGATCGTTCACCCTCCCCCTCCAAGCCTCTGTCCTTGTCTGCGAGCACGATGGGAAAACTGGCCCCACAGAGTTGTTGGGAAGGAAACATAAGCCCATGGTGCTCCGTTCTGTGCCAGGCAGGTGGTGAATCTTAGTGAATGGCTCTGCTTTTACGCAGGCCCCACCAGCCAGGGCCTGTGATTCCTAGGCAGCTGGGAGCACTGCAGGCTGCACAGGTCCCCTGGAGTTCCCTGGGCTGCATCCTCGGCTGGGCCAGGCCCGCCTCAGCACCCCAAGGCCCGGGGCAGTTAGCTGATGCTGTCGTCTCCCGTGTTCCTCGTGTGCTAACCACTGCCTCTGCTGGGTTGCAGCTCTTTGAAAGAGACCCAGTCAAGAGGCTGGGAATGACGGGAAACATCAAAATCCACCCCTTCTTCAAGACCATCAATTGGACTCTGCTGGAGAAGCGGAGAGTGGAGCCACCCTTCAGGCCCAAAGTGGTACGTGATTCCCGTGCCTGCGTAGCCTGCAGGCAGCGGGCCCTTGTGCTTTGCCCTGCTTGTCTCCTGCACCACTCACACCTCCTATATCCCTTCCAGCAGACTTTGTCTCTGATCCCCAGCACACTCAGCCATAGTTTCTGCCCTTAAGTTTTTACTCTCTCTCCTTCCTCTTTCAACAAACACCGGAAACTGGAGCTCCTGCCCCTCACTGTCTTGTTTTGTTGTTTCATTGTTGAAAATTTCAAGAGATATGGTCTTTCTGTGTCACCCTGGCTGGTCTTGAACTCCTGAGCTCAAGAGATCCTCCTGAGCCGGCCAGATAGCTCAGCTGACTAAAGTGCCTGCTTAGGCAGACACAGTGGACTAGGGTTCTGTTTGTGCCGGACCTGCCCTGGGGGTACGCTGAGATGGAATTGAGACTGAGCATGGTGGTACATACCTGTAGTCCCAGCACTTGAGAGGCTCAAAACAGGAGAATCACTACAAGTCTGATCTACATAGTGAGACCCTATAGGCCCTGTACTAAATACATAAGAAAAGAGAGAGATCCTCTCAGCTCAGTCTCCCAAGTGCTGAGACTGCAGGTGCTGGCCATGGCGCCCAGCTGACAAGCACCTCGTCCATTTCTGTGGCACACGCTGTGTAGGGACAGTGCTCAGGGCATCAGTTACAGGCTCACTCCCTCTTTCCTCATCCTCATCCAGTCCATCTTCCAGTGCTTGTTGGAAACACAATCTGCACTAGTTGGGGGTGCCGTGCCTGGTGCACTGGGAACCGGTCCCCGAGCTGAGGGAAACTTACAGATAGGAAATGTGCCCACTGCGATTAGCTGGGATGCAAGACAGCAGTGTGAGGTGTCTCGGGCCCTATAGGACCATTTGCCACCCAGAGGGTTTGTCAGCAGGAGCCCAGGGTGCAGGGACTGGTGTGAGAGGCCCCTTTGGAAGCAGGGATGGGGTGGATGGGGCGAGGGGAGGGCAGCTGGGGGCCTTCCACTGAAGCTCAGAGTCTAGAGGCCACCAGGGACAAGAGCGAGAGGAGGCAGGTCGGAGCCACTAAGGAGCTAGGCCCCTGGGCCCTCTGTGATCCCCATTCCTTCTCCCACTCCCTTTCTCTCCTCTGCCTCCCCTCATATGCCAGGACACACTGTTCCCTTCTGGAAGCCTCTGTAATGTGCCCTACATTTGTGCTTTGAGGCTACAGAGCACTTCCCCTACTGGGCCTCCTGAGCTGGGCAGAACATTGACAGGCAGCCCAGCTGGAGAAAAGCACTAGGCTGCGGGCGCTCACTGCTCATAGATTGCTTTCTTCCTCTGGCCTGAAAAACGTAAGGCCAGAGCGATGGTGCGCAGCCCCTGCCTGGATGGGGGGACCTGCGGCAAGCGGCCCCAGGACGGAAGTGTAGGTCAATCAGTGCTTGCCTGTGTTTGATCCCTAGCAATGCAAAACAAAAAATAAAAGTAAGAATAAAACACTGGTTCCAATTTAAGGTGGTGGTACACAGCTATAGCCCCAGCACTCTGGGAGATTGAGGCAGGAGGATAGTAAGATTGAGCCCAGCCTGGGCTATTTCATGACTTAATGAAACCTGGTCTAGAAATTCACAAGAGATAGAGATTAGAGCTCATCATTAAGGCCTTGGGTTCCATCGATGGTGCCAAAGCAAAACAAGACCTGATGCACTCTCGTCCTCCTCCTCTGGCCACATGCAAGGTTCTGATTCCTCTGAGCCTCTGTTCCTCATGTCCAGGTAGGACAGTGGCACCTACCTCTTGGGACTGTGGGGCAATTAATAAGGTGATATAAGGCAATGGGCCTCGGGCTACTTGAATCTGCTAGTTTTGAAAGGAAAGTCAAAATCTGGATTTTTATGTCATATTGCCAAATTGAACATACTTCCTCAAATCTCATCAGAGCCACGCAAGGGGCCGGGGGTGTAGCCCGGTGGTAAAGCACTTGCGTGGCATGTGCAAGGCCTTGGGTCCCATCCTAAGTGCCATTAAAAACAAAACTCCCCCCAAATCCAGGGCTAGCCCATGTGGTTGGACTTGTTGGTTCACTTGGCCTGCAGGCCACCAGCTCAAGATCTCTGTAACCATCTGTCAGACCCTCAGAAGCGGGGAATCTGGAGACTTCCTGTACATAGCCCAATAGCAAATACTTAGGCTTTGCAGACCTTAAAGCAGCCGTAGACAAGATGTAGCAAGTGGATATAGTTGTGAACTCATAAAACTTTATTTGTGGGCACTGGGATTTGGATGCCATTTTCACAAGGTATGAAATACCATTCTTTTATCTTTTCCTCAACCATTTAAACATGTAGAAGTCATTTTTAGCATGTGGGCTCTACATGAACAGGGGGCAGGTGAGATTTGGCCCCCAGGGCACCCTGCCCACTTTCCCCATCTGCTTGCACTGGGTCTGCCCTTGGGCTGCTGGGAGAACTGCTTTCCTGTTCTGCCCGGCGCAGGCCTGGATGCCCACCGTGGCCCTGGGAGCCTTGGAGGGCTGACCTCAGCACCCACTCTCTCTTCTGTTTGCAGAAATCCTCTGGAGACTACAACAACTTCGACCAGGAGTTCCTGAACGAGAAGCCACGCCTGTCTCACAGCGATAAGAACCTCATCGACTCCATGGACCAGACGGCATTTGCGGGCTTCTCCTTTGTGAACCCCAAGTATGAGCACCTCCTGGAAGGCTGAGGCGCATGCATGTCCTCTGCACCCCGGGTGGAGTGGGCTGGCTCCCCGTGTCATCACCTGCCAGGGCCCACTGAGCAGCAACTGTGACTGTCCTGACCTCAGCTGCTGCCCCATCCCCAGAGGGGCTCGGCTGGGCCGGCTGGGCCCTTGCGGTACTTCCTCTGTGAACTGTGTGTGAATTTGCTTTCCTCTGCCCCAGAGGGAAACTGTAAATCCTGTGTTTCATTACTTGAATGTAGTTATCTATTGAAAATATATATTATATATATACATATATATATAATAGGCTGTATATATTGCTCAGTAGAGAGAAAGCATGGGGGACCAGTGATGTGTTGGGTTTTGGAATATATATATATATATATCTCCAAAAGGGGATGAAAGGATCCTAATCTGTTTGAACCACCAGGTTCTTTTCATTTGTGTGTCTAAATAAATACTCAATGGTACTGACCTGGCTGCAGGGACGTTTGTCCCAGGAAGCTAGTGGTGGCTGCTCCCATTTCTGGCAGCTTTGATGTGTGGATACCCTATCTCCTGGGACTTTGTGCACATGTGTTTGTAGTTAGGGGTTTCCTTTGGCCGTAGGGCCCCAGACCTAAAGTGGAAGCTTTTCTGGGGGAGGTCCTGACATCCCGGAGTGGCAGTGGGAGGGGTGCAACCATCTGCCTGTCTCTCTCTAGAAAGTGAGGCCAGTCTGGAAATGCGTAGAGCGTAAGGCATGGCCTGAAGGCAGGAGCAAAGGCGTAGGAGAGTGCAGCTCTGGGCTTGAGCATTTGCCTAGCAGGCACAAGGCCCTGGGTTCTGTCCCCAGCGGCACACGCACACAGCATAGAGGCTGGCCCCAAACTGGGCAGGAAGAAGAATGCAATCCAGCTCGGCAGTTAGGCACAGCTGGGTCAAAATCTGAGTGGCCAGAAGGTCTGAGCAAATCAATTATTTTAAGGTCAGTGACCTCATCTATAAAATGGAGACAAGGCAGCCTCACATCGTTACTGTTTGTCCTTGTTCTAGCCATGGAGGAGTCCGAGTCTGAGTTTTCCAGAAGCCCTTGCCCATCTGGGTGAGGAGGTGGGGTGGGAAAGGAGTGTGGAAATAGTGAGCACCTGGCCAGGGGGAGACACAGCCGGTGGGCCAGTTGTGCAGGTGCGGGGCCTGGCGCCAGCAAGCCTAAGCAGCAGCCAGGGAGTGCTGGGGGCTTCCTCTTGCCCTCCCCACCTTGGGGTGCCGCCCTGTCTACTTGTCCTTGTTGGGCCAAGTGCTAGGGCAGGGGCCTCCCTAGACCCCTCTGGTCCAGCCCCACAGCCTGTCCCTGGAGAGGAGCCAGGCACTACTAGCACCTGATTGGCTGTCCTGGCAGCCAAGCAGCTCGCTGCCAGCGAGTTCATTCTTCTGGGCTGAGGCACAGATTTCCTCAGTTGGTGAGGGCGGCACAGCAGCATGGGGCTGGGCTGACTGGGGAGGGGGTGGCAGGGAGGGCAGTCCTGCCTCTTCATGAAACTGCCTCCTGCCTGTGGTGGGCCAGCCTTCAAAATATCGCAAGCAATGCTCAGCCCTCCGGGCTCACGGGCAGGGGAGACGGCACAACACGGGCTGTGCTCAGAACACTGGGATTATATGACCCCTGAGGAGGTGGCTGGAGGCCCTGTCTTCTGCCTGGCCCACCACAAGCACAGGGCTCGAGAACCCTTATGGGGCCCCCCAAGTGGATGTAGAACAAAAGTGGGACTGCTCTTTGTGTGTGCTGCCTCCACCATCCTGCAGCTCTGGGACAGCCTTGCACGCCAAGCCCACTTTCCATCTGCATGGAATGGGGCCAGCCGCTCAGCCACCCCAATGGAGGGAGGTGGAAAGAACAGGATGCCTAGAATCAGAGCCTGGGGTTTCTGAGTTTTCTGCTGCTCACAGAAGTGTCATCTTCCTGAGTTCATCAAACTTCAGTTTCCTCATCTGTAAAGTGGGAGCATTATGCCCCGCTGCCTTGTGGAGCTCTAGGCTCAGGGCCTTCACACAGGGCTGGTGTTCATGCGCAGTGGGTGCTGGGCAAAGCGAAGGATGGAAAGCCTTGGGGCTCCACCCCAAGCCTGGCATAGGGAGGCAGCGGCCGAGGCCATGACCAAGCTGCCTGGCAAGCTGTACATCAGCCATTGGGTGGGCACCCAGCCTGACCCAGCAGCTTCAGGAAATGCCTCTTGTAGCGGCCCTTGGCCTCATGTTCCCTGGGGCCTGGGGGCCGGCAAGTGGCAAGCTGTCCCCTCCCCTGTCCCCATCTTCTCCCCAGTCCCCCAAGTGGTGAAGCTTGACCCTGCCACGAAGACCAGATGGAGCAAAGCTCCCTGTGCAGTGCAGCAGGGCCTGGGGGCAGGCGCACACCTGTGCTATCCAATCAGCCTGGGTTCAAAGCCAGGTGTGCTTAGTGATGTCATGAGTGACTTCACCTTCCAGAGCCCTGACTTCCTCTTCCATAAAACCAGGAGAACTACGCTACTTCTAGGGACCTTGGTGACTTTTACAGTGCTTTCGAGTGCATAGCACTGACCTGGCACACAGTAGGTGCTTAGTAAACAGCTGCTCCTGAGACCATACCACTCAACAGGATGGAGTATGCCCCTGCTATATTCCAGTCCCTCCAGCTGGACCACAGGAGGGCAACTAGCATGCACCTACCTACCTCACAGCCCAGCAGCCCCCTTCAGACAGAGGGCCCAGGAGCCTGCCACAGCCGCAGGAGGGCCTGGACCCCTGGCCAGCTTGAACTAACTGGGGGACACAGAAGCAAGCAGAAGGCTCGGCAGCTGGGGTGGGGTGTTGGTTAAATATTGCCTGGCAAGGAAAGTTATGCAGGGCCAAGAGATCAGAAAAAAGAGCAAGCCAGAAATAGCTCAATGTGATTGCACCCTGTGGCTCCGTGCACTGACGTCTGTGGGCACCCGATATCTGGGGGGACAGGGAAGGGCCACAGAATGAAAGATAAAGTGAGCACATGAATGGATGGATGGACAGATGGACTGCCCCGACTCCAAGCGTCTGTAGGGCAGAGGCTGTCACATTCCACAGGCAGAATACAGGGACAGAAAAGCCCGCATCCACCATGCCAAATTCTAAGCGGTGCTGTCCCCCCCGCCCCCCCCCCCGGAACCCGACACACACGCAGGCTTTCCTGGTCTAATTACACGGTGATCTCTGGAGTAGGCCCACACAAAGGCTTTTGGAAAGCTCTCCAGATGTCCAACGTGCAATCAAAGGGACAGCCAGTTAGTTGGGCCAGTTTTTGTTTGTTTTTGGCGGAACTGGGGATTGAACTCAGGCCCTTGCACAAGGCAAGCGCTTATTCTACTGAGCCATCTCCCCGGCCTGAATCTGTGTATTGATCGGTCTTCCTCTTAAGGCTGAGAAATCCTGCTTCGAACAGGGCACACTCTGGAAGAGAAGTCACCAAGCAGTACCGCCCAGCCCGTGGGGAGGGAAGTCCCGAACCCAGCTCCTAGAGCTCCAGCTTGCAAGCGGATCTCAGGCTGAAGATTGACCGGCCCAGGGCGTGGGGCAGGGCGAAGCCGAGGCCCGGGCAGGACCACAGCGCCCCCTGGTGGCGACCCGCTCTCAGGCTTGGGAAGCGCGCGGGACGCAAGGCAGGACCGCTTCCAGTCCTTAGTCCTAAACTACCTAGGAGACGCAGAGACGCGAAAGTCGCACTCCCATCCTGGTCTTTGGTAAAAGTGCCTCAGGGATGCCCCCAAACCAAGGGCATCTATCCCAATTGGCAACCCAATCTCCCCAACGCAATCTTGGGAAAGCCTGTACGAGCTGGGAGGCGCCTGTTTTCTACGGGGTCCAACAACAGGAAACAAGGGTGCACCCAGCGTCGGCCTGGGCGCCAGGGGCTAGGCGGGTTCCAGCAGTCGCGCTGCGGCCCCACTCCTCTCACCTCCACGCGGGGTGCAACCTCTGGCACCCGCCTGCACCCTGCTGCTGCCCAACCGGCAGTCTCAGCGAGCTTTTGGTTTCCTGAGTCCTGCCCACCCTCCCAGGCAGCTCTTAGCTCCTGGAGGGTCCCTTGGTGGGAGAGGCCCACGTCACAAAGCCTGGTAGTGAGCAAGGGACGTGAGCAGGGTGTGGGCTCCCTCCTCGTGCAGCTAGCTGCGCAGGAGGCTGAGGCAGGAGGATTACAAGTTCAAAGCTAGCCTGTCTCAGAAAGGTCTGGGGTGTAGCTGAGTAGTAGAGCACCCCTGGATTTGCCAGCTGAGGACCTCGAAAAAGGGGTAATGAAGATAAAGAGGAAACCAGCACCAAGTCAGTGTGGCGCCAAAGGAACTGGACCTGTGCTTCAGTGATTTCAGTCTCTGAACTTCAATGCCAGTCAAAGACAGGATTAAATCCTGGGCCTTTCCACAGAGCTGCATCCTCAGCTTTTTTTTTTTTTCAACTTAAAACAATTTTATTAAGGCCAGGTGTGGTGGCACATGCCTGTAATCCCAGCACTGGGGAGGCTAAGGCAGAAGGATCCCTGAGTTCAAGACCAGCCTGGGTTACAAAGTGAGCCTAAGGCCAGCCTAAACTGCATAGCAAGACCCTGTCAATAATAATGATAATGATAATAATAATAATAATAATAATAATAATGGGCCCAGGATATAGCTCAGCAACATAAGCATCTGCCTGGCAAGTGCAAGGTCCTAAGTTTGATCCCTGGTACGGCAAAACAACAACAACAACAACAACAAAATACTGGGGCCTGCCATGCCAGCCCCGCCTCTGGGGCATGCTGAGACAGCAATTGAGACTGGGCATGGTGGTGCGCGCCTGTAATCCCAGCTCTTGGGAGGTTGTAAACAGGTGGATCACTAGGAGTCTGGTCTAGTAATGAGACCCTGAACAACCTGAAGACCTTTCCCTAAAAATACAAATAATAATAATAATCTATTAGTAAATGTTTACGGTACATAATAATTACATTCATCTTGGGGAGTTGGCCCATGTACATAACACCTCAGCTCTATTTTTTTTCTCAGCTCTAATTTTTTGAGATAGGATCTTAAGTTGCCCAAGCTAGTCTTGAACTTGTGACCTTCCTGCCTCAGCTTCCCAGAGCACTGGGATCATAGATGTGCGCCACCCAGCCCGGCCCAAATCAGGATTCGTAAGTGAGCCTTAGAACCCAGGTCCTCCTCTGGGCCTATTGGGCAGTGCATACTCCAAAGGCCCTGACCTTTGCTGCTAGCCTATATTCAGCATTGTACACAGGCTGAGCCCTTTGTGAAGGTTCATCCTGTTTTCTTCCTGCTGACTTCATCTGTGATGGTGGGCACATGGGCTGAGGGCGGTGGGCATCTGGGTCCTATCTGAGCCTTTGTGTTAGTTCATGAACAGGTGCCTGCCCTGGGCCAGGAGTACACAGGTATCAGAGCTGTCACTCAACAAGCAGCTGCGTGTGTGGCACTTGCTGGGTATG